GAGACTCAAACATTGATTTTCGATACTGCTTGAGAGTTACAAAATAGAAATAAAAGTTATCTTATTAGAAGTCACGGTCGTGGTGGCATTTAATTGCTAGTGGTTTCTGTACTTCTCTGATAGCGCAAGACTAGATTTTTAAATTAGAAGTCTATATCATGAGATAATGAACGCCTACAAACTTTGCATGAGGACAACGCGTTTTTAGCAATAATGAGAAAGATGTACATATATATTCATACATGTAAACTGAGAAATATCTAGACAGTGTTTCACTTTCAACTGATTTGAAAGACAAAATCACACTCTACGTACAAAGTAAATTTTATCAAAAACTTGTACAAGAATATTGGTTTCAACACATCCATGAGTCCTCTTCCGTGTTTCAGGACTGAAAAATGTGTCAAAAATAATATTCTCTTATAAATCGTTTGATAGAATATTGTTTGTCCCAAAACTGTTAAATACAACATTGTGTTCCTTTTCTCAACTACTTTGATTTGTTTTCCTTAGGATGTCAGTTATATATATGTTCTGACTATGATCCCCGAGCAAACTTGACTCAATTGACCTTAAGATGTATTCATAAATATATCTACAGTAAGGGAAATAATTATAGAAACACTCAATGTTACAATACGGGAATAACAGAGTAATGACAGCTACGGGGAGAAATTTTTAATGGTATAGAATATTATAACAGAAGTTGTAACAATGTACTCCTATTTTGTATGTGAGCCCTTTACTTTATACAAAGCATTGCACCTTGCTAAAGAGTTCATCATTGTATGATTGTGGAATACCGTGGCGAACGGCCTGTATCACTCTCACAAACTAATCAAGTTCTTTGGTTGCCTTTTGACCGTCTCAGTTTTTACATAAACCCATAGAGCCTCAAGAATATCCACAAATGGATTTTGTGCAGGATAACTCATGGTTGTAAGTGTTCCACAGGCTTCTTTATTACCAATACATCGTTTCATCATACTTATATGCTTGTAATAAATTTCTTGCTGACAGATGAATCGTCGCCCGATGGGGCGTGTTCCTAAGGGAATTGCATGATTGAAAATAATCTGAATATACTTGTCAGAAGTTAGCATGCTATCAGTATTGTGATGAAACCTCAACCCTGTACTAATCCTTCACCATACTTTACTGTAGATTTGTACATTAACTATGATGCTGTTCATCTTTCCAAAGTCGATTGTTGTTGAACAGTTTGAACTCGGATTCATCTGTAAAAAACACACACATCTCCAACTTTGCTTATTCACTGTTTGTGGTTAGATGCCCATTTCAATCTTTTGGTTTGCTTTCTTCTCAGTAGCGGTTTTTTAAACAGTTACTTGCTCACTGAGACCACCTCGTGCTAATGTGTATCTTTATATTCCCAAAACGAGACACAAAACTCGAGAGCTTTCGAATAGTTGACTATTCTTCTTCAGGAGAATAAAGGGTAACTTGCAGAATCTACTCGATATTGTCTATCTCACAAAGAACATATTTTTACAGTTAGGTAACTTGCAGGATCTCTACACGATATTGTCTATCTCACTAGGAACATCTTCTTAAAGTAAGGTAACTTGCAGGATCTCTACACGATATTGTCTATCTCACTAGGAACATCTTCTTAAAGTAAGGTAACTTGCAGGATCTCTACACGATATTGTCTATCTCACTAGGAACATCTTCTTAAAGTAAGGTAACTTGCAGGATCTCTACTCGATATTGTCTATCTCAAAAAGAACATATTTTTACAGTAAGATAACTCGCAGGATCTCTACTCGATATTGTCACTCTCACTAAGAACATATTTTTATAGTAAGATAACTTGCAGAATCTCTACTCGATATTGTCTATCTCACAAAGAACATATTTTTACAGTAAGGTAACTTTCAAGATCTCTACTCGATATGGTCTATCTCACAAAGAACATATTTTCACAGTAAGGTAGCTTTCAAGATCTCTACTTGATATTCTCTATCTCACATAGAACATATTTTCACAGTAAGGTAACTTTCAATATCTCTACTCGATATGGTCTATCTCACATAGAACATATTTCACAGTAAGGTAGCTTTCAAGATCT